GGGAGAAGAACCTCAATCCATTCCCACTCCTACCGATTTGATGCCAATGCCAGCAATAGATGCCCAGAGCCTGGAGAAGGATCACAGGTCAACATGTGAGCACCTGAAGAGCAGCACAAAGGGATTCCAGCCACTCCAGCCAGTAAGTCAGCTTCACTGGGGGCCCAACTTTTTCCTCTTCAGGCGTCTCCTTGGTAGAGTACCACGGAGGGAAGAGAGGCCCCAGAAACCTGGTTAATATTCAAGGATCACCTCCTGCAAGCTCAGGAGCAGTTCATCTCAACAAAGAGGAAGTCAGGCATCCGCACATCCTGAGGGAACTGAAGGATGAAGTTGCTAAGCCACTATCCATCATATTTGAGAAGTCACAGCAGTCTGGTGAAGGTCCCACTGACTGGAAAAGGGGAAACAGAACTCCTATTTTTAAAAAGGTAAAAAAGGGAGACTCAGGGAACTACAGGCCAGTCAGTCTCACCTCTGTGCCTGGCAAGATCATGGAGCAGATGCTCCTGGAAACTATGTTAAGGCACATGGAAAATAAGGAAGTGATTGGTGACAGCCAACATGCCTTCGCTAAGGGCAAATCGTACCTGACAAATCTGGTGGTCTTCTACGATGAGGTTGCAGTGCTGGTGGATAAGGGAGGAGCAACTAATGTCATCTACCTGGACTTGTGCAAAGCATTTGTCACCGTCCCACACGACGTCCTTGTCTCTAAATTGGAGAGACATGGATTTGATGGATGGACCACTTGGTGGATATAAGGAATTGGCTGGATGGTCGCACTCAAAGAGTTGTGGTCAACGCTCCACGTCCAAGTGGAGACCAATGACAAGTACCATTCCTCACGGATCAGTATTGGTCCAGCACTGTTTAACATCTTTGTCGGCAACATGGACAGTGGGATCAAGTGCACCCTCAGCAAGTTTGCAGATGACACCAAGCTGTGTGGTGTAGTTGACACGCTGGAGGGAAGGGATGCCATCCAGAGGGACCTTGACAGGCTTCAGAGGTGGGCCTGCATGAACTTCATGAAGTGCAAGGTCTTGCACAAGGGTCGGAGTAATTTCAAGCACAAGTACAGGCTGAGCGAAAAATTGATTGAGAGCAGCCCTGAGGAAAAGGTCTTGGGAGTGCTGGTGGATGAGAAGCTCGACATGAGCTGACAATGTGCGCTGGCAGCCCAGAAAGCCAACTGTGTCCTGGGCTGCATCCAAAGCAGCGTGGGCCGCAGGGCGAGGGAGCGGATTCTGCCCCTCTGCTCTGCTCTCCTGAGACCCCACCTGGAATACTGCACTCAGCTCTGGGGTCCCCAGCACAAGAAGGACATGGAGCTGCTGGAGCGGGCCCAGAGGAGGGCCACAAAGATGATCCGAGGGCTGGAGCACCTCTGCTATGAAGACAGGCTGAGAGAGTTGGGGCTGTTCAGCCTGCAGAAGAGAAGGCTCTGGGGTGATCTTATTGCAGCCTTCCAGTACTTAAACGGGGCCTACAGGAAAGCTGGAGAGGGGCTTTTGACAAGGGCGTGTAGTGATAGGACAAGGGGCAATGGCTTTAAACGGAAAGAGGGCAGATTTAGATTAGATCTAAGGAAGAAATTCTTCCCTCTGAGGGTGGTGAGGCACTGACACAGGTTGCCCAGAGAAGTTGTGGCTGCCCCATCCCTGGAAGTGTTCAAGGTCAGGTTGAATGAGGCTTTGAGCAATCTAGTCTGGTGGAAGGTGTCTCTGCCCATGGCAGGGGTTTTGAAACTAGTTGATCTTTAAGGTCCCTTCCAACTCTAACCGTTCTATGATTCTCAAAAGAGATTGATGAATAATTGTTCTAGTGGATGAGAACTACAAATGCCTCACCTCAGTTTGTCCTCCCTTCTCCCTGAGAGAAACCCAGCCTCTATAACTTGTTGAAATCTGGTCAACCAGTCTCAGAGCTGTGGTGGAACCTGAGCCCAAGGGGTGTGTGGCCTTTCATAGCACGAAATACCAAAAATATTTTGGTCACTGTGCAACCATGTTTTAAGAAGGCTGAGGATGCAAAGGAAACATCCGCCCTACAAAGTGGCAGCCTCTGACAGAATGACCAAGTAGACAACAGGAAACGGCAAACTCTTGAGCCACCAAGGTGGTGTATGACAAGGACTGTAAATCAGAGACTGTGCATGCTGCAGAAGGGAAGCTGAGGTTTCTCGATTCAGAAATATGCTCTTAGACTTAAAAACCCAAACTGGTTTTTTTTTTTTGGAACGGGCAACAGCATCATTTTTCATTTTACAACATGCCTAGAGAGGGTACTGCTCCCAGGAGGTGGAAGTGGATTCCACTTTCCTCTTTGGAAAAACACAAGTCATTGTTTTGGTGTAAATCCATAGCATTGGGAGTCTTAGTGTTCTTGATCCTCAAGTGGGCATCTCAAGCGTCATCTCCAATGAGATGACAAAGCCCCAGAAGACCCGCCTCTGCTTGGTTTCCCCCTAGACAGTTTCATACCCAGTGCATCAACCTGTGGAGCACCAACACGTCTCCATGTGCTTCCGTGTCTCTTTTTGGAGTTCGGACCTGAATGTGGCCCTTTATATCTCAGCTATCATTTTGCTGAGGAGATAAGAAGATTTTTATTCTGTGCCTTGTTTGTTTAAATGTCAACCCTTTAAATCAGAAGCATTCCCCACTTGTGCATAAATCTGAGCATCAAGGGGGCTGGGAGAACGTGAGCTCTACGCGCAGTAAAAATGGCAGTAAAACTATACATCCTGTGTACAAATGCATTCTTAATTGCTATTAGAATACAATCTTCTCTGGACTTTTTCTCTGTTGCTGTCGACTAGCTATAATATAAAAATCTCCTTACTGTTTAAAATGACGTGGCTAGGAAGATTTCTCCCACTGAGAATGCAGCCAATTTACAATATGGAACAGGATGGGATAAGATGAATATTCAGAAACTCATGGAGTCAACTTTCTGCACACACAGATTAAATCATAAAAAAAACCGCCGCTGCCTGCAGTATCAATGCCTAGTCATAACTGCACTATTTATAATGGGATATTAAGCTTTAGTTATGTTGCTGTCTTAGGCTACATAAACCACCAGGAAAGGAGAGAATAAATAAGGTCCTTGCAGATTACTTAGCTGAAGCAAACAGGAGACTGCACAGCTCACAATTTCGCTTTGCAAGGGAATTCCACAGCTGAGAGGTGGTGGGATGGGTAGGGGGAAAACAGGACTCCGAATAGCATTATTCAGCATGGCCCCAGTAGGACATCAATCAGTATTGGAATCAGTGGGGTAAAGCCTCAGCCTCGGTAAACTCGCAGACTTCTGCTGAAATGGGTAGGTCACACAGTGTGAACTGCTCTAACTCCACTGGAGTAAACTACTTGTCACCATCAGGGAGTTTGGGTCCTGTTGTTAGAACTGGGAAGGATAGATATAGGTCATGTTCTTGTTCATAGGGGCTAAAACTGGCCAGGGTTTGTGGTGCTAAGGGCTATCTTCCTCCCTGGAGAGGGAGAAATGCACGTGAGCTTGAGCAGGTGAGATGGATATGTGACCTCACGGTGCTGAATCAGAAGCTGACTCTTCTGAAAGTCAAGGTCAGTTCTGGCAGCAACATCCACCTTCAGTGTACTGTTTAACAGATAAGGAGCTGTGAAATAGCGTGTCCATTCTAAGTGTACTGTAGCAATGCTTCCTAGCCCATAATGACCTACCAGAGAGAGGAGCTGGTGCTATCGTCTGCAAGCTGCTTAAAGACCCAACAGTCACAAGCACCATCCATACAGGCACAGGCAAGGAAGGACAGTGGCTTGTCAGTGGGTCTTGTGGTCACCCCACGTGAGAAGGGTGGAACCTGTGGGCTGCCTGAGGTAAGAATCTAAGAATTTGGCCTACAGCCACAATGCCAGTTAGTAAAAACTCACTTGTTTTAATAAAGGAATTGCAATTAATTGGTGGTTTGTTTTCCATTGCTCTGAATAGTCTCATCATAGCTTTTATGGCTTGCAGAAGCTGTAGTCCTGCCTTACTCATGTTTTTCACAGCAGAAATTGAGAATCTCGTTACTCAATACAGAGATGTCAGTTGTGTGTTACTCCAGCTAATGCAGTACATGCAAACTACAGCAAAAGCTACGTCAGTCTAGTAGTGATACTACTTTCAGCTCGGTCACCTACGCTTCTGCAGGACATTGGAAATGTCCCTTCATCTCCCATTCCTCCACTGTCCTTTCAAACCCTTCTGCTGTCTTCTGTCTTTGGGCTTTCGAAGAATTGAATCGTTCACTTCTTCCTTTTACAGCTGAGCCCGCAAGGTTAGAGTTCCCCACAACCCCATTTGGGTGGAACGTGTTGTCTTTTTCCCACCACCCTGACCTTCCAACAGCTGCTTACAGGAAAATGACTGATGTCAGACTAAGACAGACGTAAAAACAGGTCATGGTTCTACCTACAGCATAATACAGATTTTGTTGCTCATGGCTTTGTTTTACAAAGCGATTCAAAAGTTTTGTGACTCCTGAGCCTGGCTGGGCGTCTGCTGCCTGGAATCTTTGGCCTCAGCACTCTCTCAGAACTGTTCTTTGGGTGAACAAAAAGTAAGACATTCTCATGCAATAATTTTCCTGCATTAGTCACAGGATTGCCAGAAATCTGTTTTTTTCTCTTTAATATCCTTCCAATTTCAAAGCTGAGGCGCCTTGCAGCAAATGAATGTATTTGGCTACAGGTCCTACACAGGCATATAAATCCTAGATAGGCTAAAACTGGTTTTAAAAATTGATTTTTTTTCCCTCAGGCAATATTGTTATGTCCACTTCCTAATCTTAATTGGATGTCAGAGTTAGCACATTGATAACTTGGCTCGCTAATTAATTCTATTTTGAGTGCTGATAAAGTAACCATTTGACACAGGGAAGGACAGGCTGAGGAGGTTGCAGTAATTTGATGCTAAAACACGTTGTACGTTAAGATATATCATGTTGATTGTTGCAAGGACACACTTACTGTGGTCCAACCGACCTGCTGACCCAGGTCTGTAAAGTACAGTGTAATGATGGAGGAGACAGCAAGGCTTTGAATGTTGGTGGAATCCTTCAAATAGGGCCCATCTGTAATGACAAAAAGGTAAGAGGAGATGGTATGAAGAACAGGCATCCTCTCAGAAGCTCAGCATAACGTGTAGGCTGCCCTGCTAACGGTCAAGGTGCAGGCCCAACTTGTATTCTGATTTATTTTGGTGTCTCGGTACTTATTCTCTGGGTTAGCAACTTAGAGCATTTTTCTGAGAGTGATTCTATTCTGGTTTTAACGACAGCATTAGGCTGACATGACACTGGGCGGCAATGCGTAGCGATAGTTACGATGCTATCTCTGTTAATCTAGACCATTAGAGACATGCCGTGCAATCACACAGGCAATTTCATAGAGCACTTTTTGTGCTGTCTTGCAAGACTAATGGGGAAGTCGATGCTATGCAGTGTCTCCCTCACTGGTATCTTTTGCTGAAGCGTTTGTGCTCTTAGGCTGTTTTACAATAGGTGACACTATCATGATGAACACAACTTCTTGGGCAGAGGTCCACAGTCCAGGATGTCTTTGTAAGATTCTGACCGAGGCAGACCAAGTGTATCTCAGTAGCACGTTACTTTTCACAGTACTCTGAAGCATCATGCCATCCAGAGGGACCTTGACAGGCTGGAGAGGTGGGCCTGTGAGAACCTCATGAAGTTCAACAAGGCCAAGTGCAAGGTCCTGCACATGGGTTGGGGCAATCCCAAGCACAAGTACAGGCTGGACAGAGAATGGATTGAGAGCAGCTCTGAGGAAAAGGACTTGGGGGTGCTGGTGGGTGAGAAGCTCAACATGAGCCAGCAATGTGTGCTGGCAGCCCAGAAAGCCAACCGTGTCCTGGGCTGCATCCAAAGCAGCGTGGTCAGCAGGGCGAGGGAGGGGATTCTGCCCCTCTGCTCTGCTCTCCTGAGACCCACCTGGAATACTGTGTTCAGCTCTGGAGTCCCCAGCACAAGAAGGACATGGAGCTGCTGGAGCAGGTCCAGAGGAGGCCACGAAGATGATCCGAGGGCTGGAGCACCTCTGCTATGAAGACAGGCTGAGAGAGTTGGGGCTGTTCAGCCTGGAGAAGAGAAGGCTCCAGGGTGATCTTCTAGCAGCCTTCCAGTACTTAAAGGGGCCTACAGGAAAGCTGGGGAGGAACTTTTTCCAAGGGCATGTAGTGATAGGACACAGGGCAATGGCTTTAAACTGAAAGAGGGGAGATTTAGATTGGATATAAGGAAGAAATTTTTCACTCTGAG